CGTCTTCTTAGCTCCTTTATCACACCGGGCCCAGGAGGAGGATAGAGAACGAGCTTGCGGTAGATGCTGCGCAGGTCTGCTATCAGTGTAAAATAACTTGCGCAATTAACCGTCGCTGTGCCCATCATGTCACAGGGTACACGATAGACACCGTCTAATTTGCGGTCGAATCTTTGTCACGTAGGCTGCGTATGCTATAAGTGTTTAGTGTGCTCCATTACGATGTCTATCTTTCGGTCGAATCCAATGTCCTTTGTGGTATAGGAACTTGGTGGAACCATAATGGTTCAACTGACTCCTGCACCGAATCGAGATGTTGCCGGGCTATTCAGGATAGGCAAGACAAAATTGATCTGCGTTATGGCCTAAAGCTGTGGGGCTTTAGCATACGCTTTGCATTCCTTCCGCCTTCGCGGTGAACGCGGAGTCGAACGTGGTATCAACTGTTGTACATACTGGGTGTGTGAGTAGTTTTGTGGCCAGAGGTGCGTATTATGAGCCAGGTATACAGGATCAGAGCTGTAGGACTAAGCGTAAGAGGCAGGTTTCGAGCGAACTTTCGGACGCTACACTTGGCTGTGTCCCCAATGAACCCGTACAATCTGATCAAAGGGTTTCTGTCTCCAAGAGGGGTTTGTTAGGGATCAGTAATATGCAGTGATCATCATCAACTTTCATATGGGGAGCAATTTATAGTATCTTGAGAAGGATACTCGTTTCCTCGCCCTGACAAATGAGATTCATTTAATTTAACAATTAAGAGGCAATTCTCCGTCATTTTAAGCCTTCTCCCCGTTGGTTTTTTTTAGTTCATCTATGAGCTGAATGCGGCCTGGAAGTATACAATCGACCAAGGAATGGGCGCGTTCGCCATGGAAGCCGAAGATGCAGAGAGGGCCAGTCCCCTCATTGTCTCCGATTCGGTTTCCATGAACCCCAACGAAGTCGATGCAACGCCGCATTCGATGTGGACCGAGGCGAGTTTATTGGTTTGCCGAAGCAAGCTTTTAAACAATAAAAATGACTTTTATTTGCTGAACTTTAAATAGGCCACCGTGCGTTATTCGCTTAGATGCGTTTTAATCAGTTTAGTTATTGGTCTGATTTGAACTCTTTCACTTTTGGTAGTACTGGGGTTTCCCCTCAATTCTGTTTCTGCGCTGCTTGTGCTTAGCGGCATTTTTCAGTCGCCATTCTGGTTGTCTTAATAGATTTATTTCCATGTTACCTAACTACTATCTCCTTCTCGTGTACATTTCTTACATTCGAACTTTCCGAAGGAAAACTATACCTCCCCAGGAGGCTTAAGGATTATTTTATAAAACTCACTACATTATAGTAGCTAGTGGCTAGCTTCAACGAAGGCAGGAATTCGAGCCTGCAAGGCTACGTCAATCGACTAGTGCCAAACATGTATTCTGCTCCCTGTCAGCCGGAGAAAAATCGGGGTCTTCCACAGCTATTATCCCTAAAGACTATAGTGGCGTCGGTTAAAGAACCAAGGCCCGAATACGTAATCCCTTGGCTGATCAGCCAACTGTTAGCGATGCAGGAAAATATGGCTCTCTCCCCAGTCGAGGAGAACCTCCCCTCTTCCATTCCCCTGTGCTTCCGATTAAGAATGTGGACAAGAGAAAACCTGGACTTGCTGAAGCCGTAACGCCCGGTGGTCTTTGGCGTTTTTAAATGGGGTGAAAACTGGCGAGCGATCGCAGTACGACAACCTACTGTACG